GGCTGATACTGCAGAGGAGAAGTTTGTGCCGTACTATGATCTGTTCATGCCCTCCCTCAAACACATCGTGGAGAACGCCGTTCAGAAGGAGCTTCGCCTGCTGCGAGGAAAGACCATCGAGTGCATCAGCCTCATCGGCCTGGCTGTGGGCAAAGAGAAGGTGCATGTTAAGGGAGATGGGTCGTGGAAAATTTTTATTTTTTTTAATTTTTAGTTTTATTGGTTTTATTTATGTACATGTTTTTTAATTATTTAAATGAAAGTATTTAATCTAATTTATTATCTTAGTTATTTTTATTTTAATCTTTCTAATGTTCTTTGTTTTAATCTAACTTTATTAAATTTAAACTTTCTTGATTTGTTAAAAACATTTGAATCAAATAAGGAGATAAGTAAAATAAAAAACGTATTTAGATTAATNTTTTTTTTTAAACTGTATTTTATTAATTTACATTATTGCTTTAAGTTTATTTGAATATAAATATTTTAGTGAACTTATTTGAATAAACCCAATTTATATTTTTTATATTTTCTTGACTTATCTATCTAATTTATTTTTTATTAATCTTTATTTTAATTTATCCTTTGAAGTAAAATAAATAATAGATCAAAAGTCATGTATCCATTTTTGTCTTTTTATTTATTTATTTATACCTTGACAAGTGAATTTATCTGGCTTAAGCGAACTACACTTTCGAATGGAAAAATTGAAGATCCTGAAAACAATGCATCAATTTTATTTTAAACTTAGTCCATTTTATTATTTACACTTAAATAAAGCTAATCACATTCATCAATTTTATTTTATTTATCTGCTTTTTTAAACCTTGACAAATGAATACAGCCCATTAAATCATTTCGCTTATGCCAACTACCCGCTCTTTTCACCTGTGTGATTGCATCTGAACAATGTTCGGTTGTGTAAACGCCTAACTTGTATCCAACCCTGTTGCGTGGCTTCTCTTGCAGTTCATGCCGGATGCTTCAGCTGTGATGCAGCTGCTTCTGAAGACACAGACTGATTTCAATGATCTGGAGGATGATGATCCACAGGTCAGCAAACACCAGCCGAGCACATCATGGAGCCTGATCTCAAAACTAGACTTGGTCTTGTGTGTTTGAGCTGCTGTCTTGTGCCTGCAGATCTCCTACATGATCTCGGCCTGGGCGCGCATGTGTAAGATCCTGGGCAAGGAGTTCCAGCAGTACCTGCCTGTGGTGATGGGCCCGCTGATGAAGACGGCCTCCATCAAACCTGAAGTGGCCCTGCTTGATAGTGAGTGAGCTGTCTGCACAAGCTGTGTGTTTAGGCATCGTAGACACTTATGGTTTAAATCCATGTATCTGTGTATAAGTAGAATATTGTACTTAAAAATTTTTTTATATATATTTTCTTCAGACTTTCACTTAATGCTATTGTAATAAATTGTAAATTTTTTCTATATCTTAACCAATAATAATATTTACAACTACTGTAGTAATTAATCATTCTGATAAGACAACCGATTATATAACTATTGTTATTTAGGGTTATAAAATATAGAAGTATTGATTTAAATTTACAGCTACTGTAGTAATTGGTAACCTGTTAAGACGGTTGCAATTTTAATAAATCAATTTTACTTTATGGTCTATAAAAATATCTATATTATTATTATTAATGTTTTAAAATATAATTTAATTTATAATAAATGACTGATAAAACCGTAGTTGTAGTATTTTCGAAATCAGCATTACTATATTTTATCAACCGTTTTAAAATATAGAAATATTGATTTACATTTACAACTACATTATTGTTATTGGTAGGTGATGATAAAACAGTTGTAGTAATTTAAGTAAATCAGTATTACTATATATTTTTACGTTTAAATCCGTAATTCTACATATTATAATCATTAAGTAATACATTTTTTGGTAAAAAAAAAAAAAAAAGAGCTTTTTAATTGGCTGTAGTAGTTAAAAATACTGATTTATTTAAATGACTGTGGTTGTTGGTGGTGTTGCATTTTCATTCAATCTATTTATTATAGATAGTATTGAACCCAAAACGTTTTATCAGACTTCTGCTTAATGCTATTTTAATATAGTGTTAGATTAGTAGCTTTTGGCTCTTTTGGACTTTGGCGTAACACTTCTGGTTCTGACTCGTTCAGCTCAGGACATGGAGAACATGTCTGAAGATGATGGTTGGGAGTTTGTGAATCTCGGAGACCAGCAGAGTTTTGGCATTAAGACGGCAGGACTGGAGGAGAAAGCAACTGCGTGCCAGATGCTGGTGAGAAGACGATCCGTCCAGCCAATCCATATTAAACCAGAGTTCAGAATGAACACTTACTGAATAAATGAGCCACCAGAACGAACGGTTGAGGAACAAATTGATGTTTTTGGCAGGTTTTGTTTTCCATAGTCTGGAAATGTAACAACCACTACATTTCCTTATTCTAAATTAATTTAAACAAGATAATGCATTAAAAAAATTGATGTAAATGTATAAATTAATGAAATGATGCATGAATAGTAATGCAGTTCTGTGGTTAGAAATGTATTTAATTCATCTGCTGCTAACATTTCTGACAGTCAATTTTGGGCCCTGTAACTAACCAAATTTCTGACGTGTTGCAATTAAAAAAGGTAGTTGAATTTCTAGGGTGGTATTTAATTTAGTCTGTGTTTTTCCTCAGGTGTGCTATGCTAAAGAGCTGAAGGAAGGGTTCGTCGAGTACACGGAGCAAGTCGTCAAGCTGATGGTTCCTCTGCTGAAGTTCTACTTCCATGATGATATCCTTCATGAGATTAGTTTCTTTCTTACAACGGTCTGAAATTGTTTTCTTTACTGCTGACATCTAGAGTGCAGGGTGGGTTTATTAGTTTAACTCAAAGTGCTAAAACTGAAATAAAATGGAGAACTACGAATAAAAATAAACTAATAAAAATGACAAATGCACAACAAAATTACTAAAACTGAAAATATATTAAAAAAACTAATTAACAAATTGTAATTTTATTGCTGTCAATTTAATTTTACTTGGTTCTAGTACATTTGTTGTTTGTCATTATTTATTTAAATGTCTATGTAGTTAAAACTATTTTTATTTTATCAGTTCACGTATATATATATTTCCAAGGCACCATTTCTCATTTTCTTTTAGTTTAATTTGAAGTACTAAAATAACTAAAACTAAAATAAAATTAGATGCATTAAAAAAAAATTTTTTTAATAAAATATAAATATAATGCGTTTAGACTGTATAGCATGCAGTTTAGTTTTCGCAAATAAGAAATACACAATTTTACACCTGATTCACTTTCAGAAATATAAAAACTGGAAATGTATTTAAGTTTATGTATGTCTATAGCTATAAATCTTTTCAGTTTTAGTTATTTTAGTACATTAACTTTTTTTTGTTTTGCAACTTATTTTTCCAAGTAATGATTTGTTTCCCTCTAACTCTAGCACTCTATTCTAGTTCTATTCTTTATAATAAAAAAACTTGCCCCTTTTAGACTTGCACTCTATTTATTTACTAACTGCTTGTTTTCTTAAAAAAAAAAAAAATTTGCTTTTCTAATCTTTTTGCATTCTATATTTGTTTTCTTTTTATTTATTGTACAATTATAATTCTGACTTCTGATTAACAAAAGCAAATAAGGCCTCTAACACTAGCTTGCTCTATTCTTTTTCTATTCTATCTGTTTTTTTATTTATTATATGATTTAAAAATAAAACCTTGCTACGTGTACTGCGTTAAGCTAACTGAGACTTGTTATAGCACTTGCATATCATTGCTCTTTTGTTAATTTTGATTGCCTCTATTGTCCTCATTTGTAAGTTGCTTTGGATAAGTGTCTGCTAAATGACTAAATATAAATGTTTTGTTTAACTGCAATAAGCCCCGATGGTTCTCAGTTTCTCCAGTTTAAAACTCATGTTCAGAGTTGATCGTTCACGCACCTGAGACTCTGTTAGCATCCTTAACGTGTGTTTCACGTGTGCGTGTGGCGGCGGCCGAGTCCATGCCTCTTCTGCTGGAGTGCGCTCGCGTCCGAGGCCCAGAATACCTCACGCAGATGTGGCACTTCATGTGTGACGCCCTCATCAAATCCATCGGCACCGAACCCGACTCGGACGTGCTGTCAGAAATCATGCACTCATTTGCCAAGGTTAGTCACGTGTTCAAATGCTGTTTGTTCACCAGTGTTTGTTTGTTTTAATAAGTGAATGTCTTCTCATTAGTGCATCGAGCTGATGGGAGACGGATGCTTGAACAACGAGCACTTTGAGGAGCTGGGGGGCATTATGAAAGGCAAACTAGAGGAGCACTTTAAAAACCAGGAGGCCAGACAAGGTGAGTCGCACAGGAATTAAGCACTCACAGAGGCGGTTTATTTGATAAAAATACTGTTTAAAAAAAAAAAAAAAAGTTACAATTTAAAATAGCCGTTTTCTGTGTGAATACATGTTAAAATGTAATTTATTTCTGTGATCAAAGCTGAATTTTCAGCACCATTACTCTTCAGTGTCACATGATCTTCAGAAATCATTCTAATATGCTGATTTGCTGCTCAAGAAACATTTCTGATTTCACTGTTGTGCTGCTGATTTTTTAAACATTGATACATTTTTATTTTTCAGGTTTCTTTTGAGTCTAGAAAGTTCAAAATAACAGTGATTATTTGAAATATTTTGCAAAAAGTTTTTGCAAAGTTTCTTTACTGTCACTTTTGATCAATTTAGTGCGTCCTTGATGAATAAAAATAAATTTTTCAAAAACCAATCTTACCGGGGAAGAAATTTCCAGTTTTCTTTTTTCTGGATTCTTTTTTTTTTCTCAGTTTTGACTTCAAAATTGCTTTTTTTTTTTTTCACTTTTTTTGTAAAGTCTAATTGAAATCATGAAACTTGCACAATTTTACAATACAGCCTCTGACTGATGACAGCTTGCAAAAAGATGATTTACTATGTGCCGTAATTTGAGAATTTTCGGAAGATGAAAGGATCAAACTATTTTGGTTGGCTAATGGAATGCCATTATCAGCCAATTGCAATCTTTAAGGCCTAATTTCTGGTGTTTTGATATGTTTGCGTGACCTAAATGTTCATATGGATAGTCATACAGGTTTGTGAAGTTTTACTA